AAAAAAAAAAAAAAAAGAAACAAAACGTTATGAAAACTGTCGAAAAGATTGTTACAAATAAGAAAAAGAATAGACCAATAAAATTTGTGTTTACCATAGAACGATCAGCAGCCAATTACATAAATCAAGAAGAAAAATTCTCGAAATGTTCACGACTTTTTCTTGAACAATAATAACATCGCCATCTTTCTTTTCAGCAATACTTCATCTAATTTTTTTCAGTTATCACTGTCCGATGACGTATAAAGTCTACCAATGCTATAGACTACAGACATGTGCTTGAAATAGCATAAAAAAAGTGTTCATTAAGGTTTAGCATATAATTAAGTAGACTTTCAAAATTTTCCAACTTGTTCCTAAACTTTAAAATTCTTTGTATTTACAAGCTGGTCTGGCAACAAATCAACCCAGGACGAAAGTGATAAAAAATAACTGAAGATAGAAAGTAGAATTGTCAAAATTGGTGAAACTTAAAGTAAAAAAAACTGTTAGCTATTGGTAACTGTATGTTTCGTTTTTTTTTTCTTCGTATAACGTTAGTGGTATTTGGCTTTTAAAAGACGAAACTGAAATCACAATGTAGTGTTAATAAACTGTCTAAGTTTCACAGTTTTAATTTGTGGCCAGTGAACAAAAGTATTTTGATCTGTAAACTGCTGAGGTCACAGTTTACATTGCACTAAACAATTGGAATGTGGTATATATTAAATTTTATCTATAACTGTCGTTGTACTGGTCAAATCTGTCCCTCCCGTTGTCCAATTATCTGTTCGTACACGGTCAAATGTTGTGATCTACAATGAGATTTTACCTGCGAGAAGAAAAGCAATTATCAGACGATAAGTTTGAACTTCTACAACAACTAAAAAAGGTCAACTATGATCCTGATGAAATTGCGAGTTCGTATAGCATCGAATATGCCAGTTATTTTTCAGAAAACTCAAGCTTATATGCTGCTCCAAAAACCTGTTATCTGTAGAACAACTTCATTTTCTTGCTGTTTGATACATTTGATGACTTGGTGTCCAGACTCCTGTCGTTTTCTTTTTTTTTTCTTTTTGTTGTGCAGTAGTGGATATGCTTTTTACACCATATGGTGCAACCAGATAAATAGCATAGTTGTATATTCCTACATAAAGCGTTAAAAGATTGTTTTTAAGTAAAATGTAAAGCGTTGTATTGATCATCGTAGACAGCATTTTTGCGGTAGAGCTGTTTGATTCTGGATCTTTTATTTATTTTTAATCTCATATGTTGCTTTGTATACTATCAAATGAATACAGTTTTTAAGTACTAGCAAAAACAATTTTTTAATTGAATCCTGTGAAGAAAAAGAAAAAGAAGAAAGTGTAAAAGTAGAATGATATCAACAGATTAGTATACATCGATAGTATTACAACTAGAGAGTGATTGTGTACTTGTGTGTGACAGAATCTAAGATTCCATGATAAGAAGGAAAATAACAAGGTTCTTGTGTAGTTCGTCTATATCACTAAATTCCATTTCGTATTTTCTGAAACAAATTAATGATTTGTAGATGCTGCTTTTCATAACAAACTTCTGAGCACTACTGTTCATATTTGTAAGATGCTGTTCTATTTAATAATTCAGACAGAATTCGTGGCAGTTTCTGTTGTAAGATAAGCCTTAAATTTTACAATATGTGAGATTGTTGAGTGCAGCGAAAGTTTTTTTTTTTTTCAATAAAAATCAGCAACAGCAATCAATTACTGTAGAGAAGATACGAATTATTGTTGCTGAATATTTGTGTTGCATGCTGTTACAGTTGTTCTTTTATTTGCCCGCTAAAGGAACTTCTTTTACTAATCATAATAATCAATGAGTTTTCATCGACCGGCATATCCATTTGCCAGTCTGAAAGTCCAACGAACAACAAAAAACTGAATTTTTCTTGCTGATTACTTTATTCGTCGTCTTGTTCAGCTGTTATTAAACGCACACGCTGATATCACCTATTAAGCTAGTGTACACGCTGCTAAATATAATCTCGTCTGTATATCATTTGCCTAGAAAA